CTCCTCATAAGATAAGACTTTCTCCTGTTTCTTTGGCTTAGGGACAGCAGTGTAAATGTGCTCATCAACATCAGCAGGAGTTTATTATTTTTGAGAGATTCCTATGACTTGAATAAATACAGAAGAGGTCTGAAAGAGCTTCCAATATGAAATAGTTATCTGTTTGTCACTTCATTTACATTATATTCTTAGGCTCCTTTAATCTTAGTTTATCTGGTATATTCCCCAGTGTGTTGACCCTGAAGAATGTGTAATATGAATCCTATATTCTAGACCTGATGATGGAATTAAGGAGAAGTTAAATTGAGGACAGGACAGGAAGACTAGGAGTCATGCCCCTCATCTTCTAGCCATTAGACCATAAGGGACTAAAGGGTGACTTTCAAACTTAAGCCGTTTCTCTGGGATTCTGACACACCTTTCTGCTACTGCAGCTGCTTTCAGAGTTTCATTTTGAGCTGGCTGCACTGAGTCATGTTTTGTATGATTCAAATGATAAACAAAGGCATACTTCCCTCTATCAATGTTAGTGACTACGGGCATATCTGAAGTAGAGAGTTTAGCAAAAACCGGGAAAGGAGCCACCAGACCTGTCCTGAATTAAATTTTCATTAACCATGCAACCTGTATTTTTCTGGATGTTCCTAATTTCAGTTATTCTGTTTTATCAACCCTGTAAATTCAGGCATACTTTAAAAACCAGGTATACTAATATTTTGTTGGGAAATAGTAATTTGGGATTCCTTGGATGGATTTCCTAGACTTTTACAGTTGCTTTAATTTCTAATTTCTGTTGTGCTTTCTGCTATTACCAGTTGGTTTATTGTGTCTCCTATTAAGTCATCTCTCCTGTAATTGTCCAGGATAGACTCCTGAGTTTGGTGCCAGATAGTCAGGTCCTCTAACTTGTGCCAAAAGAGAGGCAACTGCACAAAACCCACTTCACTTACTTGGAAAACTCTTATCTACATTATCAGACTTTGCTATTCCCCCAGTTTATACCTTGAGAGAAGGGCATCAAATACCTACTGAAGTGTTTTTTCTTTTTCCCTTTAATTTTTTATAAATGCTTGGTAAATAGTGCTATTTTGTCTTTAAGTCCTGAATAATTTATATGTCAGCATATGTTTAGGATCATCCTAGAGATGATCATTCAACAGTACTTTAAAAACGTGCATATGTGTGTGTATGTATGCAGATAGATTTTTTTACATTTGAATTTACTGAATCTGTGTCCTATTTCTTTATTCACCGATCAATACATTTTTAAGCTCTTCTCTTTCAGTGTATGACAGTCACACCATTCTCTTTATGAGCAGCATAGTATTCTATGCAGCATTTATGGTGCATTCATAATTTATTTTATATTTATCTATAGATAGATATTTAGTTTAACATTTCCCAAATTGTTAATATTTCAAATGATGTTGCAGTCAACTTCTTTGGACACTTACTTATATATTCTTAAGTGTTTCTTTAAGGTACAGTCCTACAGATGGCCTTTCTGATTCCAAGGACATGTACATTTATAATTTTGATAAACATTCATTGTCAGGCTTCTCCTCTGCTCATGCAAAAATACTGCATGTATACCCTTATCAACCATCCATGGGAGAATTTGTTTCTTCTCCTTCTCCCCCAATATAAGATATTATCAATTTTTTAAATTTATGCTAATCTGATGGATGAAAAATTGTATTTCTTGTTTTAATTTGTATATCCCCGATTAAGAGCGAAGCTGAGCAGAGTTTTCCTATTTTTCATAAGGCAGTGCTCTCTAGGAGGATTCAACAGCTAAAGGTAAAAACAAAAGCTTAAAAATGCTTTAAGAAACTAGGAACATATATAATTACCTAGGAATAAATTCATAAAGTAAAAGTTAACAGATTTTTTTACCATATGTGTTTAAAAAGTATGCATGCAAAAAGCATCAGAATACAGTTAAATGGCTGCCTCTTTACATGAGGAAGGCTTTGCTAAATAAGGCAAACAAAACACTAATACTCAAAATATATAAGGAGCTCCTACAAATCAGTAAGAAAAAGAACTCAAGAGAAAAATGTGTAAATAAATTCTTTGTAGATGAGGAATCCTGAATGGCCAATGAATGAAAATGCTTAACCTGCTTGCTTTTTTCCCCCTATTAATAATATAAAATAACTGTCTTATGTCAACCATATAGATCTTCTTGATTCTCTTAAATAATTATACAGATTATTTGTTTATTTAAACATTAATCTGTTGCTGGATATGTAGGTTGTTCTCTATTTTTGCTATGGTAATTCTCCAGTATGTTTATTTACACACTTCTTATTTGGATTAAATTCCTACACATTAATTTCCTAGGTCAAGTGATATACACATTTAAAATCTGTTATGTATTATAAAATGGAATTAATGAGAGTGGACCTCTCATCACAAACTACCAATACAGGCATTATCGGGTGTTTTTTGTTGTTGTTGTTCTTGTTGTGGTTTCTGTTTTTGTTTTTATTTGAGACAGGATCACACTCTATCACTCAGACTGGAGTGCAGTGGCACAGTCACAGCTCACTGCAGCCTCAACCTCCCAGGCTCTGGTGATCCTTCCACTTTATCCTCTCAAGTAGCTGCTACTACGGGGACTACAGGCATGGGCACGCGCCACCACGCCCAGCTAAATTTTTTTGTATTTTTTTGTAGAACTGGGGTTTCACCACATCACCCAGGCTGATCTCAAACTCCTGGGTTCAAGCAATCTGCTCACCTCGGCCTTCCAAAGTGCTAGGATTACAGACCCATTGTCAGTTTTTTTAGTCTTAGCCTGTCTGATAGGTGAAAATTTCTACCTTATTTGAAAATATTTGTTTCTTTAATTATTAAGATTTAGTATCTTTTAATGTTTGTATTTTTTAAATGTTTGTATGCCGTTTGATTTTGTTTACTGTTTTGTTTAGTAATTTTCATTTATTGGTTTATTCTATCCACTGGTTTTTCTGTTGGTACCTACATTGAATATGTGAACTCTTTATATATAAATGGTATCCCTTTTCTTTTACTGTCACCTACGTTACAACTTCATCTTTTTGTCATTTAACTTTTTACTCTGTTCTTGGTGTTCTTTGACAAAAGTTTTGTGTGGTCACATATGTCAGCCTTATGTTTTTTAGTTTTGGTGTCTTATTGTTATTATTGTTGATATACAATAGGATAGTTAATGCACATTCCCTCAGTATGCATTATTTTGCTACTTGGAATCTTTATTTCTAGAAAAATGTAGAAAGTTGATTAAATATGCCACAAGGATAACAATTCTCAGCGCCATGTAAGTTTGAATATGCAGTTACTGTAACTTGTTTTACTTACCCTAAGTCTTACTTGCCAGTTTTTATATATCATATTAATATTTCTACATCAATTTAATCATCTCTGTTCATTATTGTGTTATTTATATCTTTTAAGATCTGTGTTTTCTGTTAGATCATTGTTTTACCTGCACATTGTATTCTCTTCAAAATGATGAGTTATGTCTCCTTGTTTAGCTCTATATGGTACTACTTACCTGATAATAACCACTTTTGATGATAGCTGCAGTGGTGGGACCCAAAATAGATGCACAGGTCCTAGCAGGTTATATAGCTCCTACAAACTGATTCTAGATCCTACCAGCAAAGACTTTTTAATCATCCTTTCACCAGACTTGACTATTATATTTAAAAGAGAGAATAGCACAGTGTTACTATGCAATGGATCTACTATGCATATTCTCACTGCTTTAAAAATCACTGATGATATAAAAAGAGAAGAGTGCACTAGCTTAGTGTTTGATCTTGACCACATAGATCTAACATCATGATCAAGTGCTTTCAGCATTTTCTTTGAAATCACATAAGGTTCATATGTGCCAAATTTCATAAGGATCACATGATAAGGTCAAGAAATACAAATTCCAAAGCAGAATTTATATGCCCACTTCACATATGACAGCGATACTAAATAACCATATGTTGAATATAATACACTGTATGTAAATGCTGTTCTTGAAAGCAGTCCAATCAATAAAACCTAAAATAAATAATACTTTAATAACACATTTCAAATAGACTGAAAATGGAATAGATGGACTCTATGGCAAGAACATCGCTATAAAACTGACATTCAGAGACCATTAAAACACAGAGAGTAAAACAATCATGAAACTAAAGAAAAACTGTGAATATTTAGAAGTTTTTTAAAAGCGTACTACACTGTACGCCAAGATACAGCAGTCGTTTTTATTTAAAGAGCTATTTCAATAAAAGCTGTGGATTCCTGAGTATTAAAAAGCAAATTCAGTTTGCCACAACCAATAACCAAAAATACTTTTAAAAAAATATACAATATTACCCAGATTTTTAAAATACATAGTATTAAACAGAAAAAAAGTCAAAACAGAAAAAGCTCATTTTCATTATAATTAGGATTATTAAGAGACTGACCAATTTTATCATTAAAGAAGGTTATAGGAAAGCTACTGAGGTTAACTTCAAAGGCCTAGCAGTAAAAAGTGATTGTAATGTCAATAAAACTCTGAAACAGATCAAATACCCCCTAAGTAGTACTAATCTACTGTATCTTTGAAAATGTATATGCTTTTTTTTAAGCTGACAAAATTACCCTTTTTTCATTTAATTTGTTTTTAATATCACATTTTAAAAAATATCCAACTATTAAACTGTTAACAGCAGCTCAGAATACAGAAACTTTACCTTCCCTCATTCATAATATGAATTCAGATTTGAACATTTTTTTTTCCTCTTTGTCCTAGTTCTGGAAAACATGGTTTTGTCATCCCAAATTGTACAGTGATAGTTTATATTTTTCAACACGAGTGCTTGTTTATGTGTACAAACAAATGAAACAATGAAGCTTGCATACAATTATTTAACCAGTTTTCTCTCATTTATTAACTCAAACTCATACATGAAAATGAGATGTTTGTGATGTGATTGATGTTTTTCATTTCAATTTTGTCACTTTAGATCCTGGGAAGACTCTGCCTGAAGCCCTTGATTATTGCACTGTTTGGCTACAAACAGTGCCTGGAGAAATAGACAGCAAAAGTGGTATTCCACCTTCCTTTATAACACTACAGATTAAAGACTTTCTGAATGGACCAGGTAAGAAAGTCATAAAATTTACATGTGTGTACATTTTTTATGTGAATATATTAACATGTATATAGGATCTGTTAGTACTCTTGACATTCCATGCAAAAAATGAATACTTCACTTTTTCCCAGAGGTGTATGCTTTTCAGGCTGCCGATTTTAGAGATCAACAGGCAAATATAAGTATGCATTAAGAATTACCTTCAGTCTGACAAGAAGGTAGTTATCAATTAAAGAGCAGTTGACTGGAAGCCAAAGCCCCAATATTTTATTTCTACCTTTTCTATTAATTAACTGTATGATCTTAAGTGATTGATCTAATCTTCTATACTTCAGTTTTCTTACCTGTATATGAAGAGGATAGACTGGATGGATGAATGGAAGGAAACATGATATATATACATAAGACAGTATACATAGTTTAGATTTGATAGTTAAATGTACCTGTTTCACATGCTTAGCAAAGTGCTTGAGACATAGTAACTACTCAGTTTTAGATACAGATATCAAAATTTTTTGAGAGCTAATTATGTCCCAGGCACTATGCATTTTAGGAGTATGCACTATAGTTATTCCTATTTTATGAATAAGGAAGCTAAGACTTAGAAAAGTGAAGTAAATTGCCTAAGGTCATAGTGACAGAGGAGCCATTCAAACCTAAGTTTTTATGACTCCAAAGAGTAGAACTTAACTTCTGTACTACACTAATTTGGGCATAACTAAAGATTTTTTCTTTATTCCTTGATCTTCCTCCTCTGTCTTTTCTTCCTTCATCTCATGTTCTTCCCCCTCTTCTGTTATTTCTCCCTCACTCCATATAGTCTTAGCTATTTATTTAACAAAAATTATTGCATTTCACTTTTTGTTTTGTTATTTTATACTTATAGTGCTTCAGAGTGTTACCCACGAAATGAGTATTAGTTTCTTCATTAAGAATTTTATTTCATTTTATTTTTTATTTATTTATTTTTTTGAGATCATCTTGCTCTGTCACCCAGGCCAAAGTACAGTGGTGCAATCATAGCTCACTGTAGCCTCAATCTCTTGGGCTCCAGCAGAAGTATAGTGGTGCAATCATATCTCACTGTAGCCTCAATCTCCTGGGCTCCAGCAGAAGTATAGTGGTGCAATCATATCTCACTATAGCCTCAATCTCTGGGCTCCAGCAATTCTCCTGCTTCAGCCTCCCAAGTAGCTGGGACTACAGGTGTGTTCCACTACGCCCAACTAGTTTGTTTTTTGTTTTTTGTTTTTTTTTAATAGAGATGAGGTCTCACTATGTTGCCCAGGCTGGTCCTGAACTCCTGGACTCAAGCAATCCTCCTTCTCAGCTTCCTAATGTGCTGGGATTACAGGTGTGAACCACTGCTCCTGGCCATTAAGAATTTAAAATAGGCTGGGCACAGTGGCTTACACCTGTAATCCCAGCATTTTGGGAGGCTGAGACGGACAGATCACTTGAGGCCAAGAATTCCACATCAGCCAAGCCAACATGGTGAAACCCTGTCTCTACTAAAAATAAAAATAAACATAAAAAATTAACTGGCCATGGTGGCACGTACCTGTAGTTCCAGCTACTCCGGAGGCTGAGGCACAAGAATTGCTTGAACTGGGAGGCAGAGGTTGCAGTGAGATGAGATCGCACCACTGCGCTCCAGCTTGGGCAACAGAGCAAGACTCTATCTCAAAAAAAAGAAAAGAATTTAAAACGATGATTTTACAGGTGTCTTAAGATCTCTAGCAATACCCCGCAAGGCATGAATTTTAAGGAAGGAAAAATATTTATATATAGACTTTGTTGAGTATATGTGTTGTGGCATGCTAGTGTACTTATGATCCATACTACAGATGGAGAAAGCCAGTCATGGATTAAACAGAGACTGAAACCATCTCCACTGACCTTGTCACTGGGGCCCCATTCTTCTTCAGCGTATTTTTCTAGTGCTGGGATTGTAAAGGTGTAGAAGTATGAAGAACTATTTCTAATCTTGATAAACTCTAGATATGGTTTTAAATACATGAAGGAAAGCAAGAAACTGAAGGATAAGCAAGTCGTTAAAGTGTAGGAAGAACCCTTTGGAGTGAGGTAATAGACTGGAGAAGTGTGAGTCCTAGTATTTGGTTAGTGAGCATGAAGTACCATATTTCATTCCATCTAAGCCACTATCAATTGTAGAAAAACATTCTGTGTATCACTAAAAATGAAAAAAAAAACATATGCTATTTACACTGTGATACAGTGCCTTTTTATTACATCAGTGTGAAGACAATTTCTGATTTCAGAGTTGTTCACACATGAAAGACCGAACACAATAAAATAGATGCAATAGGGTAAAAACATGTTAGTTCATGGAAAAGTGACAGGGGAAACTTGGATTTACTTATTTCTCAGTTTTAGTTTCACATTCGTTTTATTTTTAGGCACAGTCACGTTGCTCATTTTGGCTAGAAAATTATCTTGTAGTTTACATTTGATTGATTTGTTTGTTAAAAAAATGGAATTTGAAAGTTGATGGTAAATTAGATACAATATTTTCAAGGCAACCAAATAAATTGAATTTTAAGACAAATGCCAATGAATAAATGAAAAATTATGTATTTACAATTCTGGCATTTAACGTGACTCAGTAGTAGAAATGTGATTTTTTTTTTTTTTTTTTTTTTTTTTGAGTTGCAGTCTCTGTTGCCCGGCTGGAGTGCAGTGGTGTGATCTCGGCTCACCGCAACCTCTACCTCCCAGGTTCAAGCAATTCTTCTGCCTCAGCCTCCCTAGTAGCTGGGACTACAGGCACACACCATCACACCTGGCTAATTTTTGTATTTTTAGTAGAGGTTGGGTTTCACCATATTGGCCAGGCTAGTCTCTAACTCCTGACTTCGTGATCCGCGCACCTTGGCCTCCCAAAGTGCCAGGATTACAGGCGTGAGCCACCGTGCCTGGCCAGAAATGTACTTTTTAAAGTAGTTGTACTTTTGTGTTTCTTAAAATACTTTTCAAAGGTGGGAATTAAATATATACAATTTCTGATTTTATGTCCATGCTATAATACTGATAATATATTTGGAGATTTAAACTTTTAAGTAAATGAATTGAAATAGTTATTTTACAGCAGCACTTCTCAAACTTGATTCTGCATTTGAAACTTCCCTGGGGAGTTTGTTAAAATGCAAATGGTGATTTAATAATTCTAGAAGGTTGGGCTTGAAAGTCATGTCTAAAAAGCTCCCAGATAGAGTAGATGCTGTTGGTCTGGTACTGTAGTTTTTGTAGCAAGTTTTATATGGCTCTTACCAAAATTCTTTTTAAAAAAATATACATATGACTTATCATATATGATTTTTGTTTTTAGTATCAGTCTTTGAGAGCCAAACCACAGATATTTTGGGGAAGAGGACAGGGCAATGATAAAGAAAGATGAGTGGTTTTTAGAATGGTGCTTTGATTATGGAAAATCGAATATAATATCCAATGGATGATTTAAGTTCTTCAAAGTCTAAAACATTTTAAACAAAAGTACATTTCTTTTATTTCAGGGAAGATTAGTTTAAATGATATATCAGCTGTGTGTGACTTCCTCTAAAACAGTAACCTAACAGCCTTTAACTGCTCCAGAATTTACTAGCTTAGACAAAAATTTTCCTACTGTAAGCAATTTGTGATTTAGAGTAGATAAGTAGATGTTATTTCATAGAGTAATTATATTATCTCACTACACAGCCAGATTGGCATGCTACTACATTAATTTAGGAATCAAATGGCTATAGAAGATAGTGAGACTTGAATACCACTAATTAAATGGGAATAACAGGACACATTAAAACAGCTTTTACTATATGAATGTATTATTTTATAGATTTTGACAACTCAAGGAAATTATATTTTTTCCAGCTCCTAGGGAGGATACTATGAGGAATATCATTTATGTTGAGATTGCGCAAACAAATTCCAGCTTTATAATGTTCCCTAATAACATTCCTTTTCCTTGAAGAAAAAGCATTACAAAAAAATAATAAAAGCACTACAAGTAATACTTTTAGTTTTTAGGTAATGTCATTGTGTTATCATTAGAAATCTTTAGCTACTATTATGTTTTAATCTGTATGCATATCTATTTAAGTATCATTCCAGAGAATGTCTTGAACTATATTACTAATTTCCATTTATTTTTTCTTGCTCTTTAATGAAAGGTATAGTAACAATGAAAGTTATGACCCTGAATTAACCAGGCATGGTGGTATGTGCCTGTAGTCCTTGCTACTCAGAAAGGCGAGATTGCTTGAGCCCAGGAGGTAAAGGCTGAAGTAAGCTATAATCACACTACTGCACTCCAGTTTGGGCAACGGAGTGAGACCCTGTCTCAAAAAAAAAAAAAAGTTACAACCCTTAAAGGTAGAGGGAATACTGATTATAACTGTCTAACCTTAAGCTTTCTTCAAAAAGATGTAAACTTCACAGCTTTTGAAATTTAGCCTTTTAGATTTATTTTGTAGGGATTATTTTCTCTAAACAAGGTGATACAAATGCTGCTCTTTAGCACTTGTTTTTAGAAAAATAATGTGGAGTTCTTGAGTATTCCCCTATTTCATCTGTTCACCTAATGGTACCTTAATAGAGCAAATGGTAGGTCCCAACTTCTACATCAAAAACCCTTTCAAAGCGCTCCCAACCCCCCACCTTTTCCCCCTTGTACCCATTAGCAAGGTCAGTGGCTTGGAGAAACCTGGAAAACAGCAGCTACCAGAAACCCACTAGAATAATATCTCCAGCAGGTGATAGATTAGTTGGAACAAATTGGAACCATTGCAGTTCAGCAATCCTGGTTTCTTTCAAGCTGTTTTTAAAATGTCGTCATTTTAGTACACAATCTAAACCCTGCGGAACAGTCCACAGCAGGTTAATTTGAATCATATGATGTGTCACTGCCCTCAGCTGACATGAGCTCTATTCCATGTGTGAAGCCATAATAAATCCATTCCCAACCGAGGAAAATTCCCCGTGAGAAGGTGAAC